TGGAAAACTAGCAATATAAAACATTGCCTGTCTGGTGCATTATTATAATTTTACTTCACCATTTTGAGACAAAAATAAACAGGCTATACTACTGTTGGGTTGTGAGTTTTCGGGGCTGTAGATTCCTGACAGAGCAGAGCTTTCCAAACTGTTTTGTGACAGGTTAGTGCAGTTATGGGCAAATGTTGGTCCTCCAGGTGTTTTGGACTTCAACTCTCACCATTCCTAACAGCCTCAGACCCTTTCTTTTTTCTCCTTAGCCACATAAGCATAAGCAGCTGAGCAGGGAAGGAAGGGGCCCGAGACTGTTAGTAATGGTTGAAGTCCAAGCCAACTGGAGGGCCAACGTTTGCCCATACATATGTTAATGTGTTGGCTATAGTGCAGTGGTCCATGGACCACCAGTGGTCCCCAAGAACGAAAATATGGTCTGTAGCCTCACCATTAGTACACCATTGCCTCGAAACCATGTGGCATTGAGAGTGACTGATCTCACGAAACCCTCTTACAGTGCCAAGGCAACAGGGATGTCAGGAGGGGAGAGGCTGATTCCTCATGAAAGGGTACTACTACAACATCAGCTCTAGATTATTAAATATGTGGGGGTTTTTTTGTGGGCAAGCCGATGATGACTACCGAATGGTATATTGTATCTTCTGTATCTTCTGTATCAGAAACTAGAGCTGACTAGAGCTGTCTGCAAAGACATTACCCTCGGGATGCCCAGATTTTTGATGTGTTACTATCCTTGTGGGGAGCTTCTCTCATGCCTCCCCCCCCCCCCATGGGGAGCTGGAACTGACAGAGGGAGATCATCTGTGCTCTCCCCGGATTTGAACCTGCGACCTGTCGGTCTTCAGTCCTTCCAGTACAGGGGTTTAACCCACCGCACCACCGGGGAAATGTTGATCAGCCACCAGTACCTTGGCAGCTACCTCTCCACAAAAGTCAACATTGACACTGAAATACAACACCACCTGAGCTCTGTGAGTGCTGCTTTTTTCCGAAAGAAGCAGAGAGTGTTTGAGGACTGGGACATCCGTAGGGATATCAAGGTGCTTGTTTATAAAGCAATTGTCCTCCCAACCCTGCTATACAACTGCTAAATGTGGACTGTGTACAGACATCACATGCAACTCCTGGAACTATTCCACCAGCGCTGCCTCTGGAAAATCCTGCAAATCTCTTGCGAAGAGAAGCAGACAAATGTCAGAGTGCTGGAAGAAGCAAAGACCACCAGCATTGAAGTGATGGTCCTCCGCCATCAACTCCGCTGGACCAGCCACGTTGTCTGGACGCCCGACCACCGTCTCCCAAAGCAGTTGCTCTACTCCGAACTCAAGAACGGAAAAAATTATTAGAATGGCACCTGGGACAAAAGGAGGAGAAAAATTACATGAGAAGATGGAACGAAAACATACAAAGAAACATTAGGAAAGAAGAGTGGAAGGAAATTTGGAGAAAAAGATTAAAGTATACGTACGCAATAGAGCTTAGGGAAAATTGGGTGAAAATGTCGCAAAGATGGTACTTAACCCCGAAAAAATTAGGCAGAATATACAATAATACCAGCACGGCCTGCTGGAAATGCAGGAGTAAAGAAGGGTCCTTTTTTCATGCATGGTGGACGTGTGATAAGGCGAAGATTTTTTGGAGGAAAATACATAAAGAAATTCAAAGTATGCTGAAAATACAGCTACCTCTGAAACCGGAGATCCTTCTGCTTGGGATGTATGATAGAAAATTAGAGGAAAATAAGGATAAAATACTATTCTTGGCCTTGACAGCAGCAAGAATGTGCTATGCCAAAGTATGGAGACAAGAAGAGATCCCGGAGATAAATGATTGGGTAACTAAAATGCTGGATATTAGGAACCTAGACAAACTAACCTTCCTACTGTTAAAGAACAAAGAAACTAAAAGGAAAGAAACGGACTGGAGTGAAGTCACAGAATATCTAAAAAAGAAGAAAGAAGAAATAGTAATCTAAGAAATATAAAAATAGACTGAAACACGTCAAAAAGAGGGAAAGAAGAAAAACAATAATACAAACTAGAAAAAGACTGATAAGATTTCCCGAAGATACCAGGAGGTCAACTTTTAATTTCCCTTTTTTTTTCTTTTTTTTTCCCCTCTTTTTTCTCCTTTTTCTCTTTTTCTCTTTTCCCCTTTTCTTCCATATATTTTATTTTATTTTTATGAAAATCTCAATAAAGAATATTAAAAAAAAAAAAGAAACTAGAGCTGACTAGAGCTGTCTGCAAAGACATTACCCTCGGGATGCCCAGATTTTTGATGTGTTACTATCCTTGTGGGGAGCTTCTCTCATGCCCCCCCCCCCCCATGGGGAGCTGGAACTGACAGAGGGAGATCATCTGTGCTCTCCCCGGATTTGAACCTGCGACCTGTCGGTCTTCAGTCCTTCCAGTACAGGGGTTTAACCCACCGCACCACCGGGGAAATGTTGATCAGCCACCAGTACCTTGGCAGCTACCTCTCCACAAAAGTCAACATTGACACTGAAATACAACACCACCTGAGCTCTGTGAGTGCTGCTTTTTTCCGAAAGAAGCAGAGAGTGTTTGAGGACTGGGACATCCGTAGGGATATCAAGGTGCTTGTTTATAAAGCAATTGTCCTCCCAACCCTGCTATACAACTGCTAAATGTGGACTGTGTACAGACATCACATGCAACTCCTGGAACTATTCCACCAGCGCTGCCTCTGGAAAATCCTGCAAATCTCTTGCGAAGAGAAGCAGACAAATGTCAGAGTGCTGGAAGAAGCAAAGACCACCAGCATTGAAGTGATGGTCCTCCGCCATCAACTCCGCTGGACCAGCCACGTTGTCCGGATGCCCGACCACCGTCTCCCAAAGCAGTTGCTCTACTCCGAACTCAAGAACAGGAAAACGGAATGTTGGTGGGCAGGAAAAGAGATTTAAAGATGGGCTCATAGCCAACCTTAAAATCTCTGGCACAGAACTGGGAAGCCCTGGCCCTTGAGCGCTCCAGCTGGAGGTCAGCTGTGACCAGCAGTGCTGTAGAATTTGAAGAGGCATGAATGGAGGGTGAAAGAGAGAAACGTGTCAAGAGGAAGGCGCGTCAAGCCAACCCTGATCGAGACCACCTTCCACCTGGAAACCAATGCCCTTCACTGTGGGAGACAGGTCCGTAGCCAGGATTTCGTTTCGGGGGGAGGGCTGAATTTTTTTCAGGGGGGGTTGTGGGGGAGTTTGGTTCCGGGGGGGGCTGAGTCTGAGTGAAAGAGGGTCTACCCTAGCAAACCTTTTGTATCATTACCCCAATACCCCCATGCATATGGGATATATTGAGTATGGTGATCAGATCATGATATGAATAAACATAACAGTTTAAATAATGCACCAGTAAGGCCTTTTTGCGAACCACCATGAGAATTTCGGGGGGGGGGGGCTGAAGCCCCCCGAGCCCCCCCCCCCCCCCGGCTACATGCCTGGTGGGAGAAGATGCAGATCAAGAATAAATAATAATAATAATAATAATAATAATACTTTATTTATACCCTGCTACCATCTCCCCAAGGGACTCGATGCGGCTTACATGAGGCCGAACTCACAGTACATCAGCAAAAAACAACAAAGCAGTAATACAAAACAATAAAATAAAACTCATAAACAAAAAATAGGCAGTAAACATCGATAATAACACAATAACATTTAAAAACCAATGGCTGGGCCAAATGTAATAGTTAAAATTAAAAAAATAATGCTGGACAAGACCAGGTGAAATATAACTAGAATAGAATTTCGGAAAAGAATGGGGTGTACAGACAGTTCTAGATCACTAATAAGGTGTAATTAGGAACATATTGCTGGGAGTTTCCTTATTCTGGGAAGGCACACTGGAACAACCACGTTTTCAAGCTCCTCCTAAAAATTGCCAAAGTTGGGGTGTGCCTGATATCCTTGGGGAGGGAGTTCCAGAGTCGGGGGGGGGGGGGGGGGGGGGGACCACCGAGAAGGCCCTCTCCCTCGTCCCCACCAATTGCGCCTGCGATGGAGGTGGGAGTGTGAGTAGGGCCTCTCCAGATGATCGAAGAGATCATGTGGGTTCGTACACAGAAATGCGGTCATGCAGGTAGGCAGGTCCCAAACCATTCAGGGCTTTGTAGGTAAGACCTGCACCTTGAAGTGGGAATAGGGCTCCACAGTCACCTACGGACCCACCACCAGTACATTGATCTTGGAAGACTATCCTACTCGGACAATGAGGGATCGCCTATGGAAGTATGTAAAGTACCACCGGGAACTCCTACTGGAGCTGATGTGGTCTACCCAATGCCATTTTCTGAATCAGCCCCTCAAATAACCAAAGAGAATCTAAAGTTGACTGAAAACTGATTTGTAACCCTTTTGGTACTAATGTTGGAGAGTGGTCCCTGGTCAAAAGAAAGGTTGAGAACCACTGCTGTAGTGTGTAAATGTTATGAGAAATGAGAAGAAAAAACATCTTTGGAATATGTTATGATGTTACCCATCATTTCTTTTCCCCGAGATGTATTGTATCCCTTGTTACAATGGCTACTATGTCTTGGCCCTTCCCTCTTCTCAAGGGTCTGTTGAACCTAGGGCTTTGCTAGTAAACCTGCGTGACTGTCGCAAAAGGAAGCCTGCCTTCAAAGTGTGTCACCAACAAACAGGAAGGGTTTGAGGGAAGCTGCGTGCAGTCCCGACCGAGCCTGGAGGTGTCCCCTCCCGCCCTGGCTTCCCAAGGCATCTGCCTTCCTGTGTCAAGGGGGCGGCGGGGGAGAGAGAGAGAGAGAGAGAGAGAGAGGAAGAGGGGGGGGGAGGAAGAAAACCCAGTGAGAAACTTGGCTGGAGCGATGAATGGCGAGGAGAGGAGGCGGGTGGAGGGATTGTGACAGGCTGGAAAGGAGGAGGGAGAGAGAAAGGGAGGGAGAGAGAGAAGAGAGAGAGAGAGGGCAGGCTGGAGAGGAGGGAGGGAGGGAGGGAAGGAGGGAGGGAGGGAGGATCACAGGCTGCGGGTGAAGCTTTGAAAGTCAGCCTCACAGGCATTGCAGCAGAGCCCCGAACCGGAGAGAGAGGAGGAGGAAGAGGAGGAGGAGACTCGAGGCGTCTTTTCCTGTGGAGAGCCAGCGAGAGGCGCAGGAGGAGACCCGAGGGGGCGAGAGACGCCTGCCTTCCTCCCTGCTCTGCGCCTTCCCCGTTTCCCTGGCCATTCAAGCCTCCGGAGCCCGGGCGTTTTGGCCAAGCGAGGCAAAGGAGAAGAGGCCAAGCAGAGCGAGGCGGCCAAGGGTGAGTCGAGTGCCTGCTTGGCGACGCTGCTGCTGCTGCTGCCGCCGTGGCTTGGTTGGGCCGCCTTTCCCCTCTTACGGAGGGGGAAGGAAGGGCGAGAGAGGGAGGAGGAGGAGCAGGAGGGACGGAGGAAATGGCCGCGGAGGTTGGCGGGGGGCTTTGGGGAGAGGCAGAGGGAGAAGGAGGCAGAGAGAGAGAGAGAGAGAGGGAGGGAGGGAGGGAGGCAGAGGCGCTGCCCTGGCAGATGGGCAGGAGCGCGGAGCCAAGAGGCGAGAGGGCTCAGGGCGCAAAGGGAGCCTCTCATTAGTCTTCTTCGCCTTTGAATAACAAGCTCGGGAAGCCAGGCTAGGAGCTGTCATTCCCGAAGGAGGGAGGGAGCATATCAGCAACATTGTTTCCGGTGGCAGTCGGGCAGGTTTTCAATCCCCCACCACCACCTTTCCCTCTCTGAAATGGACACCTCACAACCTCACAACCTCTGAGAATGCCTGCCATAGGTGCAGGTGAAACGTCAGGAGAGAATGCTTCTAGAACACGGCCAATTGAAACATTGACACCTACCTCCAACAGACAAGAGTTCTTTCTCCCACCCTGGACAACCCACAGATATATAAAGCCCATTTTCCTAGTTTCCAACAGACCTCTCAACCTCTGAGGATGCCTGCCATAGATGCGGGCAAAACGTCAGGAGAGAATGCTTCTAGAACACAGCCAATTGAAACATTGACACCTACCTCCAACAGACAAGAGTTCTTTCTCCCACCCTGGACAACCCATAGATATATAATCCCCATTTTCCTAGTTTCCAACAGACCTCTCAACCTCTCAGGATGCCTGCCACATATTTGGGCGAAATGTCAGTAGATAATGCTTCATGGCCAGACAGTCTGGGAAACTTACAAAAAAACAGTGATTCTGGCCATGAAAGCCACCAACAATACGTTGGACACTTAAAGTTTGATCATCCCTTAGGGCCCTTCCACACAGCCCTATATCCCAGGATATCAAGACAGACAATCTCACAATACCTGCTTTGAACTGGGTAATCTGCATCCACACTCAGATAATGTGGGGTTTTCTGCCTTGATATTCTGGAATATAGAGCTGTGCGGAAGGGCTCTCAGATAACTCAGTTCAAAGCAGATATTGTGGGATGTCCTGCCTTGCTATTCTGGGATATAGGGCTGTGTGGAAGGGCCCTTAGACGTGGGTGGGCAGGGAAAAGTTGGGGTCTCCCCCTTCCCCTCGGTGCCTCTTTTGACTGATTGAAATCACCAGGAATCCCCTGAAATGTTCACCTCTTCTGCCTTGTATTCCCCAGCCCATTTACACAGCCCTACATCCCAGAATACCCAGGCAGAAAATCCCACATTATCTGAGTGTGGACGCCGATAACCCAGTTCAAAGCAGATATTGTGGTATTTTCTGCCTTCATATTCTGGGATATAGGGCTGTGTGGAAGGGCCCTGAGTGTAGGTTCAGATAACCCAGGGCCCTTCCACACAACCATGTAACTCAGAATATCAAGTCAGAAAATCCCACAATATCTGCTTTGAACTGGGTTATCTGAGTCCACACTGCCATATATTCCAGTTCTAAAGCAGATAATGTGGGATCTTATTCAGCTTTGTGGAGGGGGGTGGGGTGCCAATTCAAAGCAGATATTGTGGGATTTCCTGCCTTGATATTCTGGGATATAGGGATGCCAAGAAGCCCCCCCCCCCTTTCCCTGAATTATCCCAAGTCTTGTGTGCCATGGCTGCGGCGGCGCCTCTCAGGAAGCCAAGCTGGGCATAGGCTCGCACAGCTTTGAAAGATCCATGCATTTTGACTGCCATGGCTCTGTGCTAAAACTCTCGGGTGTTGCAGTTTTACAAGGTCTTACGCCTTCTCTGCCCAAGAGTGCTGCCACCTCACCAAGCTACACGTGGCTATGGGCCCTTCCACACAGCCCTATCTGCCAGAGTATCAAGGCAGAAAAGCCCACATTATCTGAGTGTAGACCCAGATAACTCAGTTCAAAGCAGATATTGTGGGATTTTCTGCCTTCATATTCTGGCATATAGGGCTGTGTGGAAGGGCCCTATGATTCCAGAGCACTGAGCCCTTGTGTGCTGGCAGGATTGCTGGTCAGCGGTTCAAATCCAGGGAGAGCGGGTTGAGCTCCCTCTGTCCGCTCCAGCTCCCCATGCGGGGACATGAGAGAAGCCTCCCACAAGAATGGTAAAAAATCAAACACCTTGCAGATGGCCAGTTCTCTCATGCCAAAAGCGACTTGCAGTTTCTCAAGCTTCTCGTGACACAAAAAAAGGGCCCTTCAACACTCAAACATATAACTCAGAATATCAAGGCAGAAAATCCCACAATACCATCTTTGAATAGAGGGTGGTGCAATGGGTTAAACCCTTGTGCCGACAGGACTGAAGACTGATAGGTGAGTGGGTAGAATCTGGGGAGTGCAGTTTGCGCTCCCTCTCCCCATGCAGGGACATGAGAGTAGCTTCCCACAAGGATGATAAAACATCAAACATCTGGGTGTCCCTTGAGCAATGTCCTTGCAGACCGCCAATTCTCTCACACCAGACACGACTTGAAGTTTCTCAAGTTGCTACTGACATGAAAAAAAAAAATCTTTGAACTGGGTTATCTGAATCCACACTGTCATATATTCTAGTCCAAAGCAGAAAATATAGGATTTTATTCAACTGTGTAGAAGGGGTCTCTGACTGCATCCATTCCACAGTTGGGGTGCCCCCTTGGTCTCCCCTCTTTGCCTCCTCCTCTTCCTCCTCAGCTCTCCTTTCAAAGGGATGATCTCCCCTCCTTAGTCGCCTGCAAAACCACACCAGGCAAGGCCATGCCTTATGTCAGTCTCTGTTCAGCTCCTGTTATTTATTCACTCCCTTTCCATATCCAAACACATGCACCCAACCAGGGCTGGAGACCTTCAGATTTTTTACTCATGATTCTTCCGCCCCCTCTCATGTGTCACAGACAAACCCCCATGCCATCCTCCGTAAAAGGTGCTTTCTCATCATTTTGATCATATATACACTTTTGTGCCCTCCTGTAACCAGTCTTCTTTTGAGGCAAAGGTCTCTATTTAAAGCCCTTGCACCGTCTGTTGCTCCATATACTGATAACAACATCTCACCTTATCATGATCCGGTGCTGCTAACAGAGAACATGAATCCAAAGATATATACACACACACCTTTAATTCTTGAGGGATTGTAATTGAAAACACAGGCTCATGACTAAGAGTTTTATAAAATGATAGAAGGTTATTCTTGGTAACATTAAGTGCTTTTAATTGTTTGTTTTTTTTAATGTATTGTGCTTTGGTTTAAGATGGCAAATGTTTTGACAGGCATGGGCATCTTAGAATATCTTATAGGCTTTCCAGCTGTGGAAGTGATATTTAGGGAAACATTCTACTATATGTTACATTTAGAAAGACAAACTTAAAAAAAATCTTAGAATTCACACTGAAATTCATTTGATACTGGGTTATGGCACAATACGTTGGTATATATGTGTCTTTAAGTTGCCTGTTGATTTATCGCAACTCAATGAATTTCATAGTATTTTCTTAGACAAGAAATACTCAGAGATGGTTTTGCCAATTCTTTCTGAAATATAGTCTGCAGCACTTGTTGGTATCCCTGGTGGTCTCCCATCTAAGTCCTAACCAGAGCTGGCCCCGCTTAGCTTCCTAAATCAGACAAGACATGGTGCCTTCTGATGTATTTAGGTTCTGGTGGCACAATTTAAATAATTATAGAGTTGATTAGGAAAAGAGCTCAAATTCAATGCTGGATTTAGAAAAAAATTGTGGTTTCATTCATGTAGATATGCTCACCTGATGCAGATCTTTCTTCTTTAGCTATGGAATGAAATGTCTTATAGTGGCAGATGTGAGTGAATCCCTGTTTAAATGTTATTGCTCTGTGATCTTATGATGTAAGAGTATGCAGAGCAGAGTATAGAAATATCTGCTGGGAAAATGTTGGTAATAAGTGTTTTTAATAGTGGCAAAACAGTTCTGTGAAATGCATGACTTCTCACGTAGCGCAGATTGTTAAAACTAAAGTTACAAAAAAAGATTGACTTTTTAACTTTAACTGGCATGGTAAAAGAGATCATATATTTGAGTAAAGTGATTGCAAAGCGATTGTACAAATAGACAAATGACAAATATTGAGGGTGTGGCACAATGACTAACTTGATCAATCGATAGTTGTGTTAGGGAACTGCAGTCTTCCATGTGTCTTCGCTGTCTTAACTGTCTAGGTTTACTTTCCATGTTTTGAATAGTAAAAAAGGAACAAAATTGGATTGATCTTAGCAGAAATGTTTTGCCTCACATCTTTTAGGATACAGTTCTGTTCTGTGAGGGACAAGTGCAAGGTGTAATTTCAAGACAACAAAAATTAAAACGAAATACTTGCAGTTTGTTTCATTTTTCAGCATTTGTAATACGCTTAAGGCACTTTTCTTTGGGAATTGATAGGTTCTTTCAGTTTTTTTCAATATTTAGAGATATGCAAATCCTCTTTGAGGGATTATGGGTCTAAAACTGGGTCAGAAATGAATATGAGTGTTTTCTTATCAACTTTTGATATCTGTTAGGCAGAGGCTACAAAACCTCTACAGTGTATCTTCATGTAGTAGCAAGTCGGGTGTGGGCACACAAAATTATTTGTGCCTTGATCCTATGTTTGCTGAGTAGCTGGAATTATCTTTAAAATTAAAACGTCAGATAACTTTTACTGTTTTCTTCGTATCATGTTGGAAAACTTAAGTTTCAGGGTGAGGAATTAGACACTTAACAACAAATTTTGTATGGGAATTCGTTCTGTCAAATTAGAAGTGTCGCTAAATGTGACATGAATTTTACTTGAATCTTTCAAAAAATATATAGGTGGCATCCAAAAGAGAAGAGATGATTAGTTACTAGATCAGAAGAGCATGAAGAAGTACTTTAACCCTTTCCACCT